TATTTCTATTTTTAAAACAATCTTCCAGGTATACCTTATACAAGCAATATTCGGATAAATACTTGTTATTCGATTTTTTCTTTTCTTTTTTTTTTCCCTGTTCAGAAGCATTGATGTAATACAAGTTTTCAAGATACGTAAACACCAAATTCGGACACAATGGAATTTATGAATAATGATAAACGGAAAATTAGCATTCAAACTTGATATTGTACGGTAATGTACTGTACGTACTGTACGTACGGTTATTATTATCATTATTATTTTAACCTATCAATGTCAGGAAAACGCTAATTTATCTCACTTTTGATTGGTAAAAAATTTGACTACGCCACCAATTTAATTAAAAGAAAAAAAATCCAAGTTTTCAAAAATCACCGGTAATCCCAAATTTTACTTATGAAACCACCTTTTGTATCTTAAAAAAAAATTCCTTGTAAAATTTAGTAATATTGGTGCCTTACATAGCCTTAGAACTGCCATTAAAAATTGGGTTTAAAATTTTTTTTGCCGTTTTTTTAAAAAAGACATGTACAAACATATGCACGTGCAGTACATGTATGTACGTAGACTATTTAGCATTTGTTTAAAGGAAAAGTATCTTTACAAATAGATATATGCTAAATACCACATACCGTATATGTTTTAAATTTTTTGAATTATAATATTAGAACTACGAATTTGTTACCGTTACTGAACAAATATTCAACAAATGTCCAATAGTTTACTCGTAAATTTTGGTTATCTGGTTGAGATTATTTTTTGGCTTACATTGTATGCACTAGTGAATTATTGTATATTCTTACGTGCGTACTTACGTGGTGTATATCATCTATACTTTAATGTTCTTTCGCCTCTATTCTCTCCGTTTTCAATACATGTGGTTGAAATTGTTTCAACTTTTTGGCATACTACTTTGGCTCATGTCAAAACAGTGTCAAAGCTAGCCGAAACAGTTTCAGTCACAGAATTTTATATTGTTACTGAACGAATACAACAAATATCTAATAGTATACTAATAAAATTCGGTTATCTAGCTGAGATTATTTTTTGGCTTACATTGTATACATTAGTGAATTATTCTATGATTTTACGTGCGTACGTACGTCTTGTATATCATCTATTCTTTTATGTTCTCCCGTCTTTGTTATGCTTTCTATTTCCTACACGTGTCGAAATTGTTTCAACTTTTCGACAGTCTTATGTCGAAACAGTGTCGAAACTAACAAAAACAGTTTCGGGCAAAGATATAGTTCCTCCATCTTTACTCTTTCTATTCTTTTATGTTCTTCCACCTCTATTCTCTTTGTTCTCTAATGTAATTCCAACTCTATTCTCTTTATTCTCTTATGCTCTTCCATTTCCTCCTCTATTCTCTCTATTCTGTTATGTTCTTCCATCCCTATTCCCTCTATTCTCTTATATTATTCCAACTTTATACTTTTATGTTCTTCAAACTCTACTCTCTTTAATCTCTTATGCTCTTCCAACACTATTATCTTTTTTCTCTTGTGTTCTTCTATGCTCTCTATCCTCTTATGTTCTTCAAATTCTATTCTCTTTATTCTCTTATGTTCTTCAAACTATATTTTCTTTATTCTCTTACATAATTCTAACTCTATTCTCTTTATTCCCTTATGTTCTTCCATATGGGGGTTTTGCTTTGAAAATAGCCTTATTGGACACAGTACTTACTATATCTTATAAGGTCATTTTCAAGGCAAAGACTCCATATACTCTATTCTCTCAATTCTGTTATATTCTTCCACCTCTATTCTCTCTACTCTTTTATATTATTCCAACTCTATTCTCTTTATTCTCTTATGTTCTTCCAACTCTATTCTCTTATGTTCTTCCAACCCTATTCTCTTATGTTCTTCATACTTTATTCTCTTTATTCTCTTATGTTCTTCCAATCTACATTTTTATTTGCGTTATATAACATCATCTAGACATCGTACTTGGGCTGCATCTCTGTCCAAGTTCAATTAACCATTAGATATAGCTGGCGGTGCGATAATTATACTATTGTAATGTTTTTACTTAATTAATAAAATTAGTTTTTTACTATCTTTTCAATGAAAATAGAAGAACTCAGCACATAGCAGGGATAGTAAATGACTTGGAATGACCCAAATGACTAGTAACCAGTTATTGGGTCATTTCACATTCAAATGACCATTGAAAGTCATTTAACATCTGTTAACTGATAATCTAACGCCTTTTAGCAAATCAACTTTGATTTTTAGAAAGTAATTTTTATGAAATATTATCGATAATCGCAGCTACATATTAAAGTCAAAATTTACTAAGTTATTTGATATTTTAATCGATCTTAAGTTGTTCTCCCGAACAACTTTATTGAAGATATAAATACTGAATTTAACACAAAGTTGGCCAGCCAATGTTTCAATTTTTTTTTTCTTCACTATCCTCTTTTAATTTTTTTGATCCTCTTTTCCAATAATTGAATCATTTGAAAAAGAATTATATAAATATTGTGTTTATCACAGCTTGTGCACTAAAATCAGCAACTTTATAAATATGGAATAAAAAAATTAGTTAATTTACTGAAATAATATAAGATTTCCTTTAAATATTTTTTACAGGTGGTTTATCTTTTTTAATATCGGTATCATTCGTTACAATGGTATCAAAAACTTTGTCAAATTTTTTAATAGCATGTAAAACTGCATCAACTGCAACAGCTCGCTCAGTGCAAAAATATTATAGTGTAAAAGAATAAAATTTCCAATTTGCAAGTAATGTTTGATAAAAATACTGTAAAAGCGATTCTAACTACAATATGCCTAACGCTAACATAATATTTTAATTGAAACCTTAAAAAATTTAATAATACAATTATTATATTATTATTATGTAATTTATATATTTTAATTAATTGGAAAGTTATATTCATAACACCGTGTTATATAACACCCTATACTAACTCTATGCTATATTTCAAAAACGTACTAAG